GCCCCCGCGCCGCCCCCGGAGCGGTCCAGGACCTGCAATACCCCTGTATTTGAGAAGACGTTTATCATTGTATGCGCGCGGGCGTCTCAACGCCAGGCAACAAGTGCACCTTCGTTGAACCATCTATTCTAAAAACCGATTGAGAGAGATAACAAAAACTAGATTTGCTAGGTGCAGGTCCGGGTCCACAGGGCGGCGGGAGGGAAGCCTACATTATGACGGTGGAGGATGAATGTCAAACGTGATTGACGACGACCACCACCCGGCTGAGCCTTAACTCTCTCGTCTCACTCGCTCGGCATGTAGATGAGGGGCGGGAGGCTGCCCCGGACGTGCTCCGTCGCACCGATGGGTCCCCACGCCCTCACCCTCCTCCCCCCCCCCTCGTCGGCGTGGGGGCTGTTGCAGGGGTTGCAGCACAGATACGGTGCACTGGCACACTGGGGAGGGGGAAGGCATACCTCCCCCTGGTGTGGTGCATGGACAACCGCTTGGAACGCATGAGATTAGGCTTCACTGGATGTCACTTCAACTCAAAGAAAAAAAATTGGGAAATGTGACGATAGATTTTAAAAGATACATGGTATCTGTGTGAGATTTGGTGTCGAGCGGCAGATGTGAACTCACCTTGCTAAGTGGTAAATCTTATAGGTATACTGCCCTTTTGAGTATTTGCCTCCGAGAAGAGGGTAATTATCAAACGGTTCATTTTTGATGACTTCAATTCCCTCTCCTCCTCCCGTTTCATTTTTGCTAGCTTCTGCAACGGAGTACAGTTGAGCAACTTGGTACTGAAATCAAAATTAAGACATTGAGTACATCAATATAGGGCAATTAAAAAATAAATAAAGCTTAGACAATGCTGTTAAAAAAGCACTTTGATCTATAGCCCATGAGTTTTAACTTTCATTTAATTCTTACCTCCTCCACGGTAAGTGGGAGTGTGACACGGCTGTAACAAAAATTAATTTATGAGTTATACACCAAACTCTGCTGCCTTTAACACAATTACTTGCTCTGGAGCAAATCAAATACCATCCCAGTAAAACCTATATAATTTAAGTACCCAATTTACTGCCCATAATTTTTTACAAATGAATAAAGAGGACAAGACAGACACTAGAAACTAGGATGTACTTTTAAATTCTACAGCAAGATTTAAATAGACAAATTACTAGGATTTATGTATGAAAAAAATACTTTTCATTTAAATATATAAATGCCATCAGCGTCAGGTGCGACAGAGTAAGCTATTGAATGAAAACGACCAGCCCATTGATTGACGGATGGCTCGTATTTGAGCCACTGGCTGACGCACGGAACCTAACCTTGCAAATCTGAGTCATCGCTACGAGTCACAACCAAAACTAAACGTTCATTCAAGGACCAGACCCGTACACGCAGTCCAGAAAATAAAATAATGAACGCTGATCACAAAAAAGACAACAGATGGGGCAGCCACGAAGACATTTTGGCAAATAAAGGTCTTTCGAAACGTCAATAGAGGGTGGTTGATACTTTCAAGGCTACGTCCGTCCAACTCCAAACCCGTTAGTTCAAATGTCATTGCGGGCTCCAAATAACACTAAATTCACGTCATATCCACATTTGCAACACTATTAACCGCTGCAGCTAATCAATAACGCACACTTCACCGATACAATAGTTATCGAACGACTGTCGGCGCACAAGTGTTCGAATTTTCAAGCACAGAGTTTTCGCGTTGAAACCGTGAATGACGGAACGGACAAGGACAAGTCAATGCAACAGAGTACGGAAATTTACTTACAATTCCTTGATCAACATTCTAAACTAGGGTGCTACTCATGAAATAAAACGAAAGGAATATCGCACGAGACTCGGGTGGCTACGAGTGGAACGGGTAGGAGCTCGCGGCACACTCACTCACACACGCACACTGGCACACACACAGGTCCGCCACCGCACCGCGAGTGACGTAGACCGTGCGTCATCAGGGGGGCCGTGGCACGGCCCCGAGGATCACTCGCCCAGGCAGGCCTACATTGATCACTCCACCGCGGGATTTTTAAAATAGTTTCTGCTGCCATGCAATTACAAGAATTTTCAGAATACTTGTTTGTCTACGCGGCAGCCGTGCTCTGTGATACATGTGGCAATCATCAACTAGTCATCAACTTCTCTTTCACTTCATTGAGTTTTTTGTCTACTTGCCAAACGGGACAGAGTCTGAACGGGATGAATATTTTTGTTTCTTTTCAAATTACAAAAGGCAAAGTAAAATTTGGTATAATTTTATTGACTGGGTATCAACATGTTGATAATTCATACATCAAACCCAATATAATGCTAAAATGTTTCACCACTTGAAACTCGATGTATTATTCATACCAACAATAATACTGCAGGTGGAATACCTAGAAGCATCTTATCACAAGAAAAAAATAACTACAGGTGATCATTTTACCACACAAGCGTAGTAATACTTTTGACACCTTCATAAAAATTTGATAATCTTATATTGTCAGAATATTTTCACAATTTTTAATTTTTGTATAACAAGTAGGTTGGTATAGTACATATCTGATACGTAAAAGTTTAGAGTATTGTAACACTTCAGAAGTATTTTAAAAGCTTTACACTAAATACAGGGGTATTGAGACGACCCACAAGAAAATTGTTGGCAAGGTTTACACAAGCATCTACATATCACAAAAAAATAAAATTTAGTGATTTAAGAAGCACGTTAGATATTTGATTCACACAACTGACACACAACTAACCAATAAAAAAAAGATCAGAACGATGGTTCATTTGATATTTCTAACAGATCAACAATAGGTAGCCAACACTGCACATATTTTGATGAAGCAAACCATTTAACACTGACTCTCTAAAGAGAATCTATACTAAATTCTCTGCTCATACACAAGATTTATTTACAACTTGACTGTTGGTATTTTCCTTATTAAACTAGTAAAAATTACATCGGGAATGTTGGTTAAGTAGAGCAGTTGATTATAATGGTTTCTCCAAGGCTTAACTACCTAAATGAAAAGTTCAAGTTCATGCAATGAGGGGTACTGGGTACAGCACCCAGCAGGGCTTCAAACTAAATTCCAGCCATAAAAACAAAATATGTACATTCTTAGACATGTTCGACCTTGCATAAAACATATGTAACAGCAGGAATAATTATTTAAAATAACAACTTCCATAAAATTTAAGAATGAAGAATTTGGTCATATGCTTGGAATACACCACCAGCGACATCTAAAGCTCTTGTCTTTAGTGACAACTGTAAAAAAGAGAAATAGGAAAATTTGAGCTTAATAGGTACAAGTCTTTTAACTCAATTGGCTATTGAGAAAAACCATTGATGTACTTACTGTGATATTGGGATTTCCTGGTTGAATCTTGAGTTCATTTAATACCCAAATGCCATTGGTTAGCTTCAGTGATTGATAGAGCATATCTTGTCCCTCTACATTCCTCTTAGCAATGGTAAAAACATTGTTCTGCTGCATTTTGGACACCACAGTATCTATGGACAGAAATGAAAATCCAGAAATACAACATGCCATTCTGAAGTGTATCAGAGAGGTGGACGATGGAAATAAATCTGTTAACAAACCTGGATTGCATGGTACATCATTCAGCGTATATTGCACTTCATTTTGTGCTGGAATTTCTTTCCATGTGTTCAAGAACACTCTCTTATCCATTTGACCATCCTCACAAAAATATACATTCATAGGAACAGTACAGGCATAATAGAAAATGTCAATATTGTTCTTAATCGCAACCTATTTGTGAAAATGAGATAACATTAATGTTCATTAAATTAGGGCAGCATGTTACACCCAACTGAAAAGAAAAAGTTAAATATGCTATGAATGCATTATCAAACTAACAAAATATACCTGTAGGTTAGTAAGGGGTTCCATTCGCTGTACTGCACCAGTAGTAGCAAGAGTGAGAGAGGCTTCATGAGACATGCCAGGTGCCAGAGGAGATACAACTTGTAGGGGAGCAGCAGGGGTTAGACCAAAGCTGAAAAAACAGAAACAATGTGTACGTGAAATGAAACACAGAGTAATTTCAGAGGAACAATACAGAAAATAATGTAGAAAAACATACCTATTTTTGTTTAGCTGAACAGCAAAACCGCCCATGGCCTGCATTGCTTTGTTGGTGAAAGTAAAGTCCATGGATATTTGACCATTCCTGAACAAAAAGTGTGAAGATTGAATTGACAAAGCCAAACATTATGAAATGTGGTTAAGAGAATTCAGTGCTTACTTGCGAGAGAATGTGCCCCAAACATCCATTCCCTTTCCCTTTTCTGCAGGCAACCAGTTGACTTTCGGTGCAACATACATGGCAGGAGGAGCAGCAAAACCAAATATGTCACCCAGCAATCCCGTTGTAGTTTGGGAAACTGGTGCGGCAGCAGCACCTCCAACATCTCCTCCCAACTAGATAATTAAAAAATAATATTACTTTAAAAACTTGTAGATGATCATAAAATATTGTGTACAACAATCTACTATTAATTTTAACTTACTAGGCCATCAAGACCACCCCCAAGAAGATCAAGACCACTACCAGCAGGCTGTGCTCCCGGAGCTGCTGCTCCAGTTGGGGCACTAATATCCATGCTCAATAGATCGCCGATCAATGATTCCTGTGTTGGAATAATGGAAGCTTCACCACCACCGCTACTTGCACTTTCCCGGTAAATCTCCTGGGAGCCCGTTCTAGTTTTTTTTAAAAAAGCACATGATTAGTAAGGTTTTAAAAGGAAAATTATGGGTCACACATTTGTAAAAAATACTCACCTGGCAGGTAAGGATTTGCGGAGGCCCGCACGACCTTCAACAAATGCAGTTGGAGGCTTGTGATAAACTGATGCCAAGCTCGATATGTGACAGATCAATTCATCGAGGAGAGTAGGTTCAATCAAATCAGTTTCCTCAGATATTAAAGGTTTCTCTGCCAGCACAACTTCCTTAGCTGCAGCAGGATCAGTGGACAAAAGACGCCAGTAAATGAAACCTCTGTCTCTAAGATCTGGGTTATCAGAATCTTGAGTTGCTAAACTGAGGACTTGCTGCACAAGCTCCTGGGTATCCGATGGGCGTTTAAGGAACAATTTCACAATTGCAGTCAGCAACTGAAGTTGTACTTGGGTATTCTCATCATGGAAGCCTTCTAAGAAGCTTTCCAGAAGCTCGTCAGCATTGTCAATACGCTCAGCATATTCTCCAATGATCCAGATCATTGATGCCCTGTAACAGAGAGTAATTTTAGGCAATTAATCAATAACTCTGTGGTCGCTTGATTATACCTTAAGATAAAGTTCTTACCTTGCTTCTGGTTCATCCAATGTATCAAGATTCTCACACAGAGTTGAGATAATGCTTTCATACTTGTTGGGGTACTTGCGGAAAATGTCCTTAATGACAACAATAGCCTCTTGAACTACATAGTTAACTTTGGTTTGGATGAGATCGAGTAGAGTTGAGACACAACGCTCAGCTGATTGCTCAACTTTAATGGCACAACGTCCAATGGCGCGAACAGCTTTACGAACAAAGTCTACATCAACCTCAGTAGCATACCTAAAGACAAATTTCATCCAAAAAATATTAGAAAGGGAATCTGAAACAAAAATTAAGGCTCATGTAGAATTTAAGAGTACTTACTCCTTCAGTTCAGAAAGCACCTGAGCAATGTTAGCTTGGGATGCAAGCCGGATCATGATGTCAAGCTTTTCCAATTTTACATAAATGGGGTCATTATATTTGACAAAGAATACTTTCATTTCATGCTTCAAGATATCAGGCCTCTTCTGAACAATGAGATTGATGTTCCGTAAAGCAACATACTGGACCTGGATAGAGTAGAAATTAAGTGTTTAAAATCTACAAAATTAAAAAGAAATATAAGAAGAACAATTTTAAACAAATGTCCCAAACCTCAGGTTCTGATGACAACAGGGTAACAAGGGGTGGGGCCAATTTTTTAGTAAGAGTCTGAACAAAATCAGATTCCCCTGGCAGCATTTCCATGAATTTCATCAGCACTTTCACAGCTGAGAGTACAACGGCAGCATTGGCATGAGCCAGTCTTGGAGTGATACGTTCACAAATGCTAATAGAAACAGAAGGGAAAAAAAATAAGTATTGTATGCACCTATCAAACTTAACTCATTTCATTTGTTATGATGGTGATCAAAGACCCACCTCTGTGCTTCTCTATCATCTTTGGGGCTGTAGTTGGCCAATGAATCAAGAATGAAGACCTGGCCCCATTCAGTGCATTCATTCAAGGCGGTTAGCAGCTTGTTGATTGTTTGTGCATTCATTTCAATGAGAGGAGATCCACTGGCACTAGACTCATTGATTTCAGAGAGAGCAGCAACAGCATTGGCAACAACCTTCAAAAACAAACAATACACTCAAGATACGGAAAAATGTTCTGGTATCTCAAAAACTGATAAAGGCTACTTTTAAAACATATACCATAGGGTTAGAATCAGATAACAAGTCCTTCAACTGGTCAAGGAAACCTTGGTCTTCCACAAGGTGAGCATTGATGTCGTACAACTTGGCAACACAAACAGCAGCTGTCTTTCTGACATAAGGGTCTTCATCTTTCAAGCATTTCCTCAAAGGTTCACATAAATACTCAGTGATCTTATCCACACGAATGCAGCCCATTGTACGTACTGCCAAAGCACGAATTAATGGATTGGGATCTTCACAATCCTGCCAGACAATATGAAGTTAGTGTTTGTACAATGAAACAGAAAGACATACAACATACCAAAATACAAAACTCTACCTTCACAAAAGTATTAACAGCCATGATGGCCATATCAGGTTGGCTTTTAGCATAGTTCATTAAATAAAGGTACACTAGTTTCTTCAATTCCAGGTTATCAGTTTGCATACAGTTCACAACATCAGGGAAGAGGGCGGATACATCCTTCCCCACTGTCATAGAAGCAATCACCTGAAAAACAAGAAAGTCAGTGCCATATATTAAAATTTAAAATTGATCAACGCTGATCATACATACCTTCTTGACAGCTTCCCTTTTCTTCTCTTTTTTGTCATTGTTCAGCTCAGACTTCAATTCAAATATTTCACCTTTCTTGGTGGTTGTAAAGTATTTGGAGTCAGTCATGGTGATCTCCGGTATACCTGTCAAGAAAATTAAAAGGATTATCTAGGAGAGTAGTGCATGGTAGACAATTTACTGGATATAGGAAGACACAGAAATAGAAAATTGAGTAAACATAAGATGTTTATTAACTGAGACAGTTCATCACCATGGGACAAGATTGAGGTTAAGTTCAGATGTTTCACTCAAAGACAAAACGACTGACAGACTCTAATAGGAAAACACAGATTGTTCCAGGTACTCAACACATTTTTTTAAAGACCCCAAACTAATTTTGTGGAATAACAAGGCCAAGGCAGGGAAAAATCACCCAAACTACCAGCTATTGACATTTCAAGAAAAGGGGGCGACGACAGGTACCGGGGTAAAAGTACATCAGAAAACCAAAAACCAAACGACAACTCAAGAATATATCAACACGGACCAATTAGAAGCGTCAAGGTAAGTGTATAGAAGAGGTAGACTTACAACTAGAAACTTCTCTAACGTAATCAACGCCCCTCAATCACGAACGTTGTAAAATCCGACAACTTGGAGCCGTCAGCTTTTCGATTTTCGAGGCACAGAATCGATTTCTAGTTCTTCAGGAGCTGCAACTTCTACACTGACTATGGTGACACTCGGAAGAAAAATATGGTGTAAATAACACTACTAATAGTTTTAATAATGCAATAAAAAATAATTTGTCAATTACAACTTATTTATCAGTCGTTCTGAAGTATCCTGCTCGTTTCTGTGAGACAAGCTTCTGCCAGCGTGGTTGGTATGAGTGCTCAACATCCAGAACCGGGTTAGGGGCACGAAGCTGCGGTAAATTCAAACACAGAAGACTGTTTACGCGCATTTGTGTGTGTTTTGTTGTTTGTGGGGGGTAAGGGTTACTGGATGACAGATCGAATTCGCCCTCACCACCACTTGGGGCCTCACGCACAACGGGTTGCCTACTTACACGCACGGTACAACAGGATGCAGCATTGCAGCAACAAGGCCCATTGGTGGGAATTCCATACGTCGTAGAGGTTTCATTAATTAATAAAGACCAATTGCTTCGAAAATGACGCGAATAATGGAATATAAGGATAGAAGAAAAAATAACAATTTCGTGGCCCGTTTCCTTAGAGTGCCCCCTCCCCCCTTCAACACTCTACTACTTGGTGCCGCCACAGTCTTCGCCCCTTCCCTGGTTCCGCCCCCGGCTACTTCGACGCGGGCAAGTCCATTAATCCCCGGTAACGAGCCGCCTGCAAGCAGCGCCTGCAAGCTGCCTGCAAGCCGCCTGCAAGCCGCCTGCAAGCCGCCTGCAGTAAGCCGCGCGCGGCCGTGGCGCCAACCACACCGAAAATGTGCCGTGCAACACGTTAAGGGGGGGAAGGCCGCTTGCCTCTCCGCTCCGCTCCGCGCCGCGCCACCTGCGACACGAACACGCCATTGTTTAAGCGCGGGTGCGCGCCCGCCCGGCCCGCCCCGACGGCCCCGTCCGCCTGGCATAGCGCCACATCGGCGCGGCTCGCCCTCCTCGCCACCCCCTCCGCAAAGCCAACTGCGCAAATCACGGGAAGTGTTTTTCCCGAGTGTGCTTCGAGGAGCGCTGCGCATCCTACCCCGACAACGACGGGGGCTGCGGCGGGGGACTATGTAACGTGCCAAGCCAAACTACAATCAGACATAGGGTGGGTGATCCACGCCGTGTTTTATTTCTGCTTATAGTGTATTTCGACTAACGGTGGAAGAAGAACAGCGGGTAGAACATAAACGTTACCGATTGCTCGAGAGCTTCCCGCCTTTACGTCGCGCCGGTAGTGGGGGTAGGCGCTCGGCCAACTAGGAACCTTTATGTTAAACACGCTATTCTTCTTCCTCCGTTAGTCGAAATACACTATACTGTACCGGATTCATGCGTGCGGGCGGGCTTGCCTATGCCTACCCTGGCTCACCATGGTGCCTTACGACCCCGTGCGAGTAGACAACCCGGCTGCATTCATGAATCCGGTACAGTATAACAAGCAAAAAAAAAAAAAACACGGTGCGGATCACGGATCACCCACCCTGTACATTTTTAGACAGTCCCCAAAACTGTCTTTATCAGAAGGAAAAAAACGTGCCCCTCCCTCCCTCCCTCCCTCCCTCTCCTCCCCTCGTTTATTTCACAAAAAAATGATACAAAAAGTCGCGATAGTGTGTGAGGCACGAATCAAAATGCCACCTTCTCGTTTTACCGGCGGTGGTTGTTTCAAACACAAAGATGGCTGTAGTACGACGTTGGAATTCCCCTTTCAAAAGTATCCTCTAAACTTTATAATCGTAAACTATAGCGGGAGAGTTACACACACACTCACACACGCACGGCCCGATGACCACAACAGGACGGGCATGGAGGACCTGCGCGTAAAGAAGAACAGAAGGAAGATGGCCGCTGCGGCGGGTGGTGGGGGTAGGAACATAACAAAACCTCATTTGTTTAGCAGAAGTGGCGTGGCGCTATTTCGAAGTGTGGACGTATTATAGCACCAAACATATTGTAAATTTAATAATAAATGTTGTTTACGTGTCAAATATTAATTTTGTGATAATTTAGAGACAATGGTCCACCAAAATAGCGTCAGTTTCTGAACGCGTCGACTGCTGAACAAATGAGGTTTTGTTATGTTCCTACCCCCACCACCCGCTGCGGCGGCCATCTTCCTTCTGTTCTTCTTTACGCGCAGGTCCTCCATGGCAGCAGGTTATTCGCGTCTTGTCGTGGGAGGCGTTTTATTAATTTCTCCCTCTCTATCTCTCTTTCTCTCTCTCTCTTTCCCTTTCCCGGTCCTCCTCTCTCCCGCGCGCAGCTCGCTTTGAGATCGATGGCTCCTCCGCGGTGTGTCCTGCGCTCCTCTTCTCTCTTCTCCCCGCGCCTTTTGCCTTTATGAGTGCAGCCCGGGCCCGGGCCCCGTGCCTCGGCGGCGGCGGCCCGCTCCGCTCCGATCCGGTCGTCGTCGTCGTCGTTGGTGGCTCCGTCGCGCCCGGCCAGAGATTTGTTCTTTGACGCCACATATTTCCCCCGCCGTGCCCGCCGTCGTCCGCCCCTCGCCCCCTTCTCGCAGCGCCGCGCCGCCCGCACCTTTGAGACGAAGCAGGAGGAAGGGGGAGGAGGGGGAGGAGGAGAGGGGGGAGGAGGCCGCTGTCCAGAACGAGAGAGGTCCCGGGGACGGCGCGGGTCCCATCTGATAAAAGGTGGGTGGTAAGTGATACCGGCCTGGTCCCGCTTCGGTCCCGAGCGCGTGCTGCTAGGAGGCCCCACCGGGTGGGCCCATCCAGAGGGAGAGAGAGAGAGAGAGAAAGAGAGACCCTCACGGAGAGCAGCGGGTCGGGCGGCCGGCTGGTCCGGCTGGTCGGCGTGTCGCACCTCACGGCCATCATGGTGTCGTTGCGCTGAGCGCGCCCGCCCGCCCGCTGCCGCAGCATCTCCGTGGACCATCTCGCTCGTGTCGCGCCCGCTGCTGGCCCTGGCCACTGGCCTCCTCCACCTCCATGACACAAAGCAGCCATTTACACCGTTCAAATTCCAAAGGGAGAGAGAGAGAGAGGGCGGGAGTGGAAAGTATTGGTGGAAGAGGAGGAAAGACGGATGTATCTCTCTCTCGCTCGCTCTTCCTCTCTCTATACGGCTCGCAGGAGGCTGTGGTGCCGTTCGCTGGGTCCACACCACACGCGCGTCTCCACTGCGCGTCTCCTTGAATAATATAATACCTGTATAAGGCACTAGTGTCGTACCTGTAATTACTTTCTGCCTGTGGGGCGTTTGTGCGCGTGAGTGTGTGTGTGTGTGTGTGTGAGTGAGTGTGTGTGCGCGCGCGTGTGTGTGAGTGTGTTCGGCACACTGCCCGATTAATTAACGCAGGTGAATAGCGTAGCGAATACCAAGCCGCGGCAGCCGCGGCCCGTCTATTCCACCCGAGAGAGAGAGAGAGAGAAGGAGAGAGAGCAATGAGGAAGAGAGAGAGAGAGAGAGAGAGAGAGAGAGAGAGAGAGAGAGAGAGAGAGAGAGAGAGAGAGAGAGAAATGGGGAAGAGAGAGGAGACAGAGACAGACTCGTAGGCGCCGATAGGCATGTGCGCCTATAAGACGTGGGTGGCTGGCTGCTGTGCTGCATGTAGCTGCCGCAGTAGTAGTGAAAGCCTCTCTCCGGGCGGGTGTACGTCCGGGTACCACGACGGGTACCTCCCAGCGGCCACGGCCGCCGCGCCTTGCTCCTGGCCGGTCGAGAGGTGCGTTGCGCGGGTCAGGAATTGCAAGTGACCTCCTCCGCCCGCCCGCCCGCCCCCGCCTCCCTCTTCATTTGGTTCGCGGGATGAGCTTTCTCTGCCCGCGCACCTCCACCCGCCGCCACCGCCGCCACTATCGTGGGGGGCGTCGTACGTCTGCTCCACTTGAGCGCGCGAAATGCATTTCCATTCGATGTGAACCTTGGCAGGCGGAGGGAGGCGCCGCCACCCGCGCTCGCCGGGCGATCCTGCAAGGATCGTGGAAGGAGTAGGTTGGGTTGCCCACCGGTCGGGCGCCTTTGCCGCCGCTAGACAGCGCCTGCTTCACACATTCGTTTCACACCAGCTGCTGCTACTGCAGCTGTCTCCGAGAATCCTACGGGAACCTCCCCGCTCGCGCACGGCTACCTTACTGCTGCACCGATTCCCGCCGTCAGCTCCTTTTTGATTCCGCGAAGTCCTTCCTCCCTGCTACTGCTACTGCTGCTCCTGCTGCTGCTCCTGCTGCTGCAGGGCTGTGGGGCGTGATGTCCCGGCGCCGCCCGCCCCGCCCCGCCCCGCCCCGCCGGGAGCGTCGCGTCGCCGCCGCCGCCTGTGTTCGAAGAAGCGCCGCTGGCCGCGACGCCCCGCGCGCGCGCTGTGAAACAAAAGCGCGGGTGGAAGGTGAAGAAGAGCGAGCCGAGCCGAGTTGTTGTTGTGTGATGGGAATCGAAGCGGGGCGTGGAGTGAGCGAGACGGGCAGACAGACTCCCGCGTAACACTAGGAGAGAGAGAGAGAAAAGGAGGGAAGTAGTGGTGGTGCGGCGAGTTCAGCGTGAGGGAGTCCGGAACCGTTGCACTAATGTGCGATTGCGCCATATATATTTCTTTCTTCAAACGCCCCTTTCTCGTTTTAAAAGTGCGTGCTCGATGCATTAAAACTCTGCCCCGTTATACATTTCCATCGCGTGCCCTGCGCGATTTCGTCGAAGAGGCCATAGTCTAGCCGTCGTTATTCTTCCGGACGTTCTCATCACTACTACTACTACTACTACTTCCCGTGCAGGGACCCCGACCTGGCGGTCCTCCCCACTTTTTTTTGCAATTGATTAAGGGGCAGCAACAAATTCCCTGCAACAGAAAATGTGAATAACCCTGTGATAGTTTTGCGAATTCGCGCCAATTCTGTACGAACATGACCGCGCCGCGACGAGGAGGAGGATGAGGGAGGGCCGGAGGTGGTACTGGAGCCTGGCCTGGAGCCCCCCTGGAGCCCGCCTGGAGCCGGCCCGGTCGGGCAAGTCCAGGGTCATAACAGTCCGCATGTCCTGCCATGACAAATGGCTCGTAGCACACGTCGAGTCTGTCTGTCTATCTGTCCCGACCGCTTAGGGGGGCAAG